CTGTCARTCAATGTCCTAAACAGGCCAAGGTCTGCCCACTGGCAGTCCAAGGTGTAAGTTCTGCTGCCCCTCTTTACTTTACCCAGTATTGAAAACTCTGACATTTCGTGGTCCCTCTGCCCAAGATGGCCACCAACCACCACATCAGCCACCATTGCTCTGCAGGTCTACCAGGGCACCTTCTCTAGTGTCTTCCATACRCTCCAGGAAACTGCTAAGCTGCTTCCTCTCTGTATTTCCAGCAGACATCTGGCAAGTTGAAGTCACCCACAACAACAAGGGCTGGCAACCACAAGACTTCTGACTTCTGCCAGATGCTGGTAGAACACCCCATCTGCCTGTTAGCATGGTTGGGTGGTCTGTAACAGACATGATGCCCACCCTGCTGACCTTCCCCCTGACCTACCTTCATGATATAAAATTACTTTTCCACTTGAAATATGTTGGGAAAGTCATGGTGCATGCACAGAAAACCTATTAGACTGTGTGTTGTCGTTCTGCATCACATCCAGCCTTCTATAAAGGCAAATCCAGCTTCCGCTGGGAACACTCTTTAGAGCAGTCTTTTCCTGGGAACACTCCTTCTTAGAGAGTCACTCACTGTCAGCAATGTGAGAACTCCCCAGGCAGGGATTTTACTGGGATTACACTGCCAAATGAGTAGAAGTGAATGAACTGATTCTGTGATTCTCCTKTCTTTGGAGTTGATTTAAACGCCAGACCTATTTCCATGGCCTCAGGTTTTTACTCAGTTTTGCTGGCATAAAGCTCMTCTATTTCAAAACTCACACCAAACTAATACAAGATGCTCCTGTGTACTACAATAAACAGTACAAATTTCAACAGAGACAATAAATAGGTCTCCATTTTGACCCTGCTCATCCTTCTTATTTTTAGACATTCAAGCTGCATTCTTTCTAGTAATCTTATCTCATGGGAGAAAACGGTATATCCATTGATTGATTCACTTTAGTAGCAATTTTCTAAAAATTCTTGACATTTGTCCRTTTGCAACTAAAGTGCCTTTTGTGAGATATCTGCTATGCATTACACAATTGCTCCCAGAAGCAATAATATCTAATCCAGCACAACATCCTGGCACARGGAAAGTTAGAATTGGTCCTTAGTCTGTCTCTCCGATGGATTATATTATTGGAGGGTTTTTCCTCCTAGCCTGTAGAGTATGTATGACTTTTAAGGCTATTTGCAGTTATAGAAAGGTAGAAATAGGATTTCTGCCTTCTCATTTGTACCCTTTTCCTTTCTGCAGCTCAAGCAAGTTTGCTGCAGTTGGATTTCACAGAGCTCTGACAGAGGAGCTGTCTACCATGGGAAAGGATGGAATAAAAACAACGTGCCTTTGTCCAGTTTTTATAAAYACTGGGTTTGTCAAAAACCCCCGTGCAAGGTAACTCTCAGTACTCTCCATTCCTGTTCTTCCTTCTTTGCATCAAGGCACTGCACATGATCCCCAGCTTTGGCCTCTCTTCTAACTGGCTGTATAACAGTGTGTATTACTGGCTAAAGAAAATCTGCAGTGTCCATGTGATGGTTGCATTTGAATTACCTGAGTTTGTGYAGCTCTGAAGCCTCCTACATCAGCTGCTACCACTCTTGATTACTGCAGCCCTTACGTGTTTGCTTTCCTGTGTAGGCTTGGGAAGATTTTGGAGGTTGAAGAAGTTGTAGAGGCTCTGATGGAAGGAATAGTGACCAACCAGAAAATGGTTTTTGTTCCACCCCAGCTAAACATGGCTTTGCTTTCTGAAATGTAAGTACAAAGGAAAATTAAACAATGGGTAGTATGGAAACAAAAGTACTAACTACTTGAGGAAACAAGGTTCAGACTTCTGAGTCAGCATTTTTCCAGAAAGAG